GCCGGTGATCCTGATGGAGGTATTAATGTGCACAGTGATTATAACCATTATCAGGTACGCAATGCCAGGAATGATAAAACTGTGCTATAACCAGTAGTCGTTTGTTCGAGATGACCTGGAACAGGGGTTTGCTCTTCATAACTAGCAGTCCACACATAACAGACAAAAAGAGAGATCTCCCATTATGCTGCAATCCAGAATGTCATCTTTATATAATAAGGTCTATAAGAATATCAACAATGTCTAGTTACAGCAGTGTAACTGCAGGCAGTATCAACCAGCCCTGGATTTCAGAACGGGGCGATACTTTTCTGGGAGAAACTTCATATATTGATCACACTCCCTGTTGGAAACCAGCAAAACCAGCGACTCAACCGTGGAAGCTTCTAGGTGGAAGTTATGTTTATCAATTTTAGAAAGGTAAACCTCAGCCTTGCTTACCTCCCGTTTGTGAAGTAACTTTCTAACTATGCAGTTTAGTGTAAGGGAGTCAGCAGTACAGCCATTCTCCTCCATTCAAAGAAGTAGATCATCCAATTCCTCAAGCAACCCCTGTTCTATAAGATTTTCTAGCATTAACCGGTAGGTGCAATTATCTGGCACTAAACCGTTAGCCGGGAGAGCAGCAAACAAATCATTGGCTTCATCATTTCTGCCAACTTTAAGCAATGCATCAATCATAATGTTGAAAGTCCTAGCCTCAAGCTTCAAATCCATCAAACATAGGTTCTGAAACATCCGAAGTGCATCATCAGTGAGTTTGTTTTTGCAAAGTCCATGAGGATTATGTTGTATGTGCTAAGTTCAAGCTGCGTTCCACTTTCGGTAATCCTGGCATATAGTTCTTTTGCAGCAGCAGTTCTTCTGGTGCGAAATAAACCATGCAGAATTATGTTATATGTAATAATATCAGGATTAACACCATTGCTTTCCATCTCCTTGAAAAGAGCTAATGCGTCCTCCATTCTATTAATTTTACAGTAACCATTAATCAAAGTGCTATATGTAACACTATCAGGTTTCAACCCAACTGAGACCATGCCAGTGAGTAACTTCATTGCTCCATCCATCTTACCAGCTAAGCAATATCCATCGATGAGTGTACTGTATGTAATGACATCAGGATTCACACCAATATGTCCCAACAGGTCAAAGAGTTTTTTAGATTCTATAACCCTCCCTTCTTTGCAAAGACTGTCCAATATTGTATTAAAAAACACAATGTTGGGATTGATACCTTGATCCAATATTTCAAAAATTAACTCCTCGGCCTTCTCCCATTTGTCATAGGTACAGAGAGCATGAATTAGGGAGGTATAAACAACAACGTTAGGTGTCAGTCCTTTATCAATCATCTGCTCAAAATTAAGCATAGCATCATCTAGTCTACCTAACTTGCAAAGTCCATCTATCACTGTTCTATAGTTCACTGCGTTCGGAGTCAATCCTTGCTGCCTCATTTTGCTGAATACAAGCACGACCTCGTCTACTTTTTCTTGTTTAGTGTATGCACATATTAATATGTTGAAGACATGATGATCAAGTTGCATGCCATTTTGTACCATCAAAGCTAAGAGATCATGCATCTCAACAAGAGCTCCTTTGGAAGCATACCCATGAAGCAGGGTACCATAGGTAGTAATATCAGGCTTGAGACCCCTCTTGACCATAGAATCAAAAATCTTTCTGGCTTCTGTGCATTTTCCGTTCTTGCAGAGATAGTCCATCAACGAGTTATAAGTAACAACATCTGGTTCAATACCATCACTGCACATCTTTCTGAAAATACCAATAGCCTTTTCCGACTGTCCTGAAGAACAATATCCATGCATAATACTATTATATGTGAAGCAATTGGGCATAACCATCACTGTAAGTACCTCCATGGCCCTGTCCATAGCTTGAGCCTTGCTTAAGGCAGCAATGATAGAGTTGTAAGTCACAGCATCTGGAGAAACCCTCCGGTCCAGCATTTCATGGTATGTGATGTAAGCTTTGTCCACATCACCCTCTTTGAAGAGACCATCAATGATGGTATTATACGACACCACATCAGGTGGGCAGCGACCATCATCAGCCATCGTGTGGAGTAGCTCGAGAGCTTATTGGCTTCTCTCCTCATCACACAGTCCCTTGAGAAGAATGCTGTAGGAGAAGACATTTGGTATGCAACCGAGCTCAGCCATTCTGCGGAGCACTATGTCCAATGCATCGTTCGTCCTCTTCTCGGCGCATAGGCCCTTTAACAGAGTATTGATGGTGATGGCGTTCACCCTAAATCCCTTCTTAACGACATTGCCGAACGCCGCGAAACCAACACGTCCAATCGGCCCGCGCGGCAGCAGCAGGAGATGAGGATGTTATGGGTGCACAAGTCGGGAGCCACTACCTTCTTGGCGCCGGACCGGGCCATGCGGTTGTAGCAGGCCACGGCGGCCGCGGGGCTGTCGCGCGCGACGGCGGTGAGCGCGCGGTTCAAGCCGTAGATCGAGGCGCCCCTGCCTCGACGGAGCAATTCGTCAAACACGTGGCGTGCGTCCTCGGCGCCACTGCCACCCGCGCGGCCTCCTCGCCCTTCGGTCGCGTACTCCGAGCGGGGACGCGGCGTGACATGCCCAGCCTCAAGGACGCGGCGGCGGCGAGATGCCCGGACTCCGGCGACCTAGCAAAAGGAGCAGTGGAGCGGAAGACTGATACTGTGTTTGGCGTTGGGCCGTTGCCCAACCCCGCGGTGAACGGAACAAGATTCTCTGACGTACACGTACGTTACCTAGCTCTGTGTCACTGACATGTGGATCCATAGTGATATGGACCCACATGCAAGTGACACAAAATTACCCAGTTGAAACTTGTTTCTTTTTTTTAAAAAAAAAGTACAGAATGTCCGTTGTTTCTAATGACATTTGCTATAAATGTGTCGCCAGATTTTCAAACAAAAAACAGTTGAATTGTTGTCCGTACGATATTCATCGAGATTCGCGCCAGTGCAAAGGAAAAAATTCAGGCGCGGTGGTGGGGAGTCGAACTATGGTCTTGTAGGTCTTGCCCGTACGATATTCATCGAGATTCGCGCCAGTGCAAAGGAAAAAATTTAGACGCAGTGGTGGGGAGTCGAACTATGGTCTTCTAGGTCTTAGACAGAGTGACTAACCAACTCAGCATAGTAGGATTAATGATTTCAATGCCAAAATTAAGTTAAAATTCATTCACTAGGTACTTACAATACTTACGCCATACTTACATATCACTTACATACCACTTACACCACACTTACAACGTAATTACATACCACTTACACTACAGTTACAATGTAATTACATACCACTCACACTACAGTTTACATACCACTTACATTAATTACTAGTTATAGAATAATTACATTGTAATTTTTATGTGTTATTAATCATATGGTTTAAAAAATAAAATACGTACTAGTCCCTAATTAATCGTAAAAGGGTGTACGTAGTTGGAGGTCCACTAAATCGTTAGGTATGGATTAGCAGTAGAGAAAAATCCGACTGCGTTTGGGTTCGTTTTATGGCGAATGATTTGTAGATAGTCCCTTTAATAATTTATCTTGCGTCCTCACGTGTCTAAGTTCAATAACAAATTTTTAAACGTCACATCTAAAAGTGACAAATAGTTAAATATCTCTAAAACATGAGTCGTGTTACCGTGACTAGCTTACCGCTGAACAGAGAATTGAGTAACTGTTGAACTACTGCATACTTTCATAAAGAAAAAATGGTTTGTGATTTCTAAGACTATAACGTTGATTTATGTTTTTGCATCGATTTATGTGATATATATGACGATTTAGAGCATCACCAAAGGAAGTATTTAGTCATGGTTTCTTGATTATTGTGTCCACATTCACTTGGAAAAAATAGATTTTAATGCGTCATCATATGTGTTTGCTGTGATATTTTTACGCCAAATGACAAAGATATTTATGGATCACACGCCTATCTTACCTATCTTGTTTTATGTGCCTACCTTACCTATCTTGTGTTGTATACATTTTCTCCAAATTATCGGTTAATTTTGGTTCGTGGCATAGGTGCCAAGTCATAGCTTATCCTCGATACCGACAACATTATTTATTATTTAATCGTGCACGATATATATATGAGAATTTCCACGTCAAAATGGTGGAAACCTACGGTGCACCGCCGATTCTCTTATCACTCTTTTTTATCAATATTCGTGTAAAGCATATCACACCTACCGTGTACTCCAACCATATATATTGTCGGGAATTTAGTCGCGAAATGCAGAAAAAAAATAATCTATCGTGACATTTAATTCGGATCACTTCTATTATATTGAGAGAGAGATTTTCGATAACATTATATGTTAGTCAAATTTAATCGGGCACCTCTTAACGACCGTAAAATCACTCACAATGGTACCATCAAGATTTGGGTTTTTCTCTCGATTTGAAATTTTACACCCATCGACATTTTAGCTCCAGTGGTACCCCGAAAACTCATCACGCTGTCATGCATGGCGGTATGGCACAACAAAACACCTTCGTTTTTCTTCTTCTTCTTCTTTTTTAACTTTTCCGCAACCTTTTCCCGTTTTTTTCCTTCTCGAATGGCCTCGCGCGCGCGCGCGCGCGTGCACCCTCCGCTCTCCACTCCGGCCACTACTCCTCCCGCACGCATCGTCTTCCAGCCTGGTCCCGACGGCGCCCGGGTGGACGCGAGCTCGCGCTCACGCGCGGCGCGCGGCTCGCTTGGCCAAAAGCTCTCTAACCACCACCTCCCGCGCCGAGAGCGCCGCGCGGCCGATGGAGATCGAGGCTTCTCCCTGACGAAAATTAGCCCGACGTGAACTGGCGCGCGCGCGACGCGCGACGCGGGCGCGAGGCGCGCGCATGGAGAACCGGGACACCTCCCCCTCGCCGAGGCGTGCGGGTCACGCGCCTTTAGCTCGCCACCAGCGTGGCACGCGGGAGCGCGCCGCGCGCGCGGCTATATATTCCCCCGCCATTGCCGCGCCCTCCTCCCCCACTGCCACAGCACCGCCTTTGGTGGGAGAGCCTCTCGCGATCGGATCGTAACGAACGCCAGAGGGGAGGGGCTTCGATCTTGGGATGACGCCGTCGGCGATCGTGGTTGGCATGCCGACGAGGTGCGCGCCGCCGGCGTTCATGGCGGGGGTGGGGAGGGGCAGGGGGAGGGGTGGGTTCTTTAGGCCTGTGGTGGCGGCGGCGGCGGCGTGCGGCGGAGGTGGCGGCGGTGGTGGTGGGGATGAGGAGCAGAAGAGGCAGATTCTGCCGCTGCCGTCGATGGCCGCGATGCCGCCGTCGCTGCGGGCGATCCAGGCGAAGAGGAAGCTGGAGGCGGTGCGGCGCGGGGTGGTGCCGCGGGCGGCCGGGACGAGCGCGGTTGCGGCGCTGGTCGCGGCGGTGGAGGCCGTGCAGGGCGCCGCGGCCGGGGGCGCCGCCGAGGCCGCGCGCGGCGCCGGGGACGCCATGGCGTGGGTCATCCGCAAGGTGCACCTCGAGTCGCCCGACCTCGCCGTCGGCCTCCTCGGCCTCGTCGCGTCCTGCCTCGGCACGGTCATGGAGGCGGAGATGGACCGGATCAAACGCAAGAACGTCGAGCCGTCCGCGTCGGTGGCGGCGGCGGCCAGCAACGCTGCCCCCGACAACGACGGCGGCGACACCGACCAGATCGAGGACGCCGACGCCGAGATGCCGGAGCTGGTGGAGCTTGACATGGAGACGGAGCTCTGGTCCCGGATCGGCATCATGCACAGCGACGACGACACGCCGGTGTTCGTCGACGACGAGGACGGCCTGCAGGAGATCATCGACATCGCCCGTGTCCACCGGCGGAAGGCGGCGTACGAGAGGATCATCGCCACCGCCGCCGACGTCAACTCGCTCATCCTCTCCAACTACGCGCAGCTCCTCTACCAGTTCGACAAGGACCTCGACAGGTACGCACACCCTCGTCGCCGCCATCGACGTCGCGTGCTCCCCGTACGTGGTCGCCATTAACGATGATGCCGTGATCGATGCCGGTGACGAACAGGGCGGAGGACTACTTCAAGCAGGCGGTGGCGGCGGAGCCGGTGGACGGCGAGGCGATGAGGAGGTACGCGCTGTTCATGTGGCACGCACGCGGCGACCTCGCCGGCGCGGAGGACATGTTCACCCGCGCCATCGACGAGGAGCCGCAGAGCAGCCAGCACCGCAGCAGCTACGCCTGGTTCCTCTGGATGACCGGCGGCGTCGAGACCTGCCTCATCGACTCCGGCAACGACACAGAATGACAAGCCATATGCATCAGCCAGGAACACAAGACGACGACGACGACATGACATGATCGAACACCTTTCACCGGCAGGTGCCCGGCGACGGGCCGGCCATGTAGACGACGGTGCAGCTAGCACCTAGGCATCGCCATGGCCTACCTACCCATGGCTATATATAGTAGTCGAGTAGCATAGAAGAAGAACTGATCATCAGTGTGCATGCATGGCAACAATGGCAGGAGCTGAGAGAGGCAACAAAAGAGTTGGCAGGCAAGCTAGCACACATGGTAATGTAGAGTGTTGCTATAGTGATCTCATGGAATAAATCATGCATAAAACCACCAGTAATGTTATTCCAGAAATTGTGAGCAATCTCTATGTATGGGAGAGGCATAATGTTCTTCCTTTTTGTGTAATCTGGTGTTTGCAGTTTGCACAGATTGTGAGTACATGAATGTCAAAATGTGGCTTGTAGTGCATTTGATTGCATGCCGAATATGTGTGATGTACAGAGGTTTGTAAATACTACATATATGGAAGAAAAGTTGTGCAGAGGTTTGTAGATACATATCGAAGAAAAGGATTCATGTCGGCTCTATAAACAGGCTTGACTTAATCATCGAAACACTGTTAACATTGACATAAACGGTTATAGAAAGGTGGGAATTTGGGTGGATCATCTGCAGCCCAGCTCTAATCTTGAGTCTGCGCTGATGGAAGTGTTGGTGCATAGCTTCTGAAGGTCAATGTAGCCGATTATCGTGTCCTCAAACACGACGTCCTGCATTTTAGCGTCATCGAAGGTTGATCCTGACAAGACGGTGTTCCTGAAGATTGCCCCTTGGAGATCGGCCTTCTCAAAATTGACACGGTCTATTACTGCATTTGTGAAATCCGTTCCTGAAAACAATTGAGATATAAGCATCTAGTGTTCTGTTTATCAATTCAAAGGTACATGATTTTGGAAATAATGCAGCAATAGTGTGATGAATGACAGAAGGTGAGTTAGTTTACCTTTGAAGCTTGCCCCCACAGCATAAGCTTTGGACATCACAACTTCAGACATGTCGGCCCCATCAAACTTTGAATCGGACATCAAGGCTGCAGCTAGAGATTTTCCTTTCAGATTAGTTTTCTCGTTTGTGTAATCGCAAAACCGGAGATCGAGTGGCTTGTCATACACCCCATTTGCCTGACCAATTGTGTTCCCGACAAAAGCACGCTCGCATCTGTTTGGCTCTGTGGACAGTGGAGGCAACCTCTAACAACCAGAGCAAACAGGGTATGATGTTATTTTAGGAAGACATAAAGCCATTGAAGAAAAGAAAAATAACTCTGGGAGGCTAGAATGAGTTTAGAAGAGCAAATGTACTGTAAATTTGTACTGACTTACATAATACTGCATATATTTGGGTCATACCTATAGGATACCATTTACTTTGCAGTTCAACTGGAGCAAAAATGTCAGTGTTTCCTAAATGAAATTTGTGATCAGAAATACAAAATACGCTGCATACTTCTTGAGTGAATTCTCCAGATATGTACAAAAACCATTTATATGTGCACTCAAATCTGAACTCACAATTTCACATGCACTGGTATAGTAATCAGTATAAGAATTTCTTGCTTTACATTGCACAGAAAGCATTTGCCAAAATTAGGGTGCCCCCCACAGATAATAGAATACCATATCAATCAGTCAGTGTTGCAACAGTTGACAGCAGAAATTTCAGACATTGGTAAATCTCGTCAACCCATACGCCCTGTTTTTTTTCTTTTTGACGTTGGTTAGTCATATAAAAAGGAAAGAAGGGGGTACCTTTTAAGAATTATACATTTCAGACGGTGGTAAATCTTGTCAACATAAGTATTTAATCAAATTCTAAAAGCTCCAACACCATTTTTAGTCAGAAGGCATATTCTTTTTAAGAAAAAAAAAGAGTAAATTTCACAAAACTACAAGTATTTTGACCAAATTATCACAAAACTACAGATTTAAGGAGTTGTATCACAAAACTACATATTTAGCACCAAATTTATCACAAAACTACATATTTTAGATGAAGTATCATAAAAATGCATATTCAATATTGAACTTATCACAAAACTACAACTTTAGAGTTTAAATCCCTAGCACCATTGTTATGGTGGAGCTATAAACATCATTACTTTGTGATTAAATTGATTCTAAACCTATAGTTTTGTGATAATTTAGTTACTAAATATGTAGTTTTGTGACACTTCATCTTAAATGTGTAGTTTTGTGATAAATTTGGTGTTAAATGTGTAGTTTTGTGATACATCGAGTTAAATCTGTAGTTTTGTGATAATTTGGTCATAGTATCTGTAGTTTTGTGAAATTTACTCAAAAAAAAAATCCTACATTCTAACAACACTCCAGCGGTCCCGCCTATCTTTTGCATGGAGAAATTTAAGCAGATTTTTCTTTGATGGGATTTGAAGAAGGAATCAAGAGCAACATTGGATGGTTACTCGATTTGATCAGTTAGGTCAGCTAAACTAAATGCATTTCCCTTATTACTTGGTTCTTCTATCGAATTTGAGCGAAATACTGGGGTCAATCTTGATTTGGTAACTCTCATTGCATTTGACAGGGAATTAAACAGCTCCAAATCAAGTGATTTCTCTTTCTAAGCACACAATTCCTGCCAAGCGCAACTCTAGCCTATGTATTTGTTCACCCGTTGTCACGATCGTGCGGGATTTATTCCACCAGAGGAAGATCACTACACCCCCCAATAGAATGCCATGGAGACCAACCTGGCTGGCGGCAATCACGGGGCTGGACGAGGACGCGACGGCCCAGGCCGCGAGGACGCCGCACGCAAGCCCGCCCACCGCCTTGCGCTCACCGGCAAACAGCCCCGCCGCCTCCGGCCCGCCGCCACCCCCGGCCGAGCACGCCACCACCCGCCCCGCCCTCGGCGTCACCCGCACCCGCAGCCGGGGCGCCGCCGCCGCCGTGGCCGGCGAGGCGAGGCAGGAAGAGGTGGAGGCCATGTCCGTGCGGCCGCGACAAGTGAGGGTGGCTGCGCTGCGGCGAAGAGAGAGAGAGAGAGAGAGAGAGAGAGAGAGAGAGAGAGAGAGAGAGAGAGAGCTGGTGTGTGTGCGCGCCTCGCCGCGATCTTACGATCTTATCGACTTATCTGCCTTCGTCGTCTCGCGTCGCGTCTCGTCTCCCGGACGGTTTGGGCCTTCACGGCCGCAGGGCCCACGTGATTCCCCGAGGGGAAAAAGTACACTGAAGGTCCCTCAATTTGTTATTGAATTACAAAATCGTCCCCCAACCAGGTGTCCCTTAACTAATCAAAACCGATCACATTAGGTCCTTCGGTAGTTTTGACCCGGTTTTGTCTTACGTGGCGGCTGAGTCAGCGTGAGACTCACATGTAAGGATGCCACGTCATCCTTCTCTCTCCCCTCTTCTCATCCTCGGTTCCTCCTCCAGAAAGTATTTTCTACACCTAGGTGACTCCTCAGTTCCTCCATTCCTCCTCTCTCTATCTCCATTCCTCCTCTCTCTATATATATGTCTGTAGGCCGGTCGGCGAGGCGAGGCAGGAGAGGAGGAGGGCGGCGCTGCACCGCGCCGACGGACACAGTGGGGAAGCATGGCGGCGCGGGTGGGCGACGGGGAGGCGCGGGCATGCGCTAGCGTCGCAGGCGCCCAGTTGGTGGTGGCGGCAACCGTCGTTGACACATGGAGATTAGGATGCCACGTCAGCGAAACCACCCATATATATTGCCTAGAGACTTTGAGTGAGCGGTTTTGTATGGTTTAGGGGTGGAGATTTCTGGTTTTGTGGTTGAAGGACCTTAAAAAATCGTGGTGTAAAGTTGAGGGATGGCCGGTGAACTTATTCTAAATTTGGACGATTTTTATCTGCTTGCAACCAAAATTTGAATGTTGAAATCTAACTTTACAACCACAAAGTAACATGCCTGTAAATTTTTGCTTTGCTATTTGTTTATGATGTACCCCTTACTAGATTCTTTATTTTCGGGGAAATACTTTTGCCTTGTTTTTTTTCTCATATCATCTAAAATGTTATAAAAAATATTAAAAATTAACAAGATATATTAATATGCTTTAAATTTGAAATCTACAAACTACAACATAAAAACAAATATGACTACATGGACATGTATACTGGTTAGAGTTTAATTTGTTTTTTTAACTTAAGGATATCAAATTTGAAATTAAAGCTTGTCATTTTTTTTAAAAAATAATTATGTATATACATATGAGAACAGGGAGACCACTCGAGAGATTATGATCCATTTTTATTGTTTTCTCAAAATATCAACAGAATTTGATCCGACATGCTTGTGGAGGTACATGCAACATAATAAGTTTTATTTATTTATTTATATTATTTAGACATCATATTAACCACTCCTATTCTTTTGAAGAAGAAAAAAAAAACCACATGCCTCGAAGGTCTCAAAATCCGACATTCGCTTTCCCTTTCCCAACTTCCCAACCTCCTTCGCCAACTTTAGGACAACAGCCAAAACGAACTGTTCCAGGAAAACCAAAGGCAAAAACGAGAGAAAAATAGCCACCACGAACCCTTCCTCCCCCACTGTCTCCCACTTTTTCACGTTTTCCGGCGAGCGCGGCGGCTAGCCATGGATGGCGTCGGCGGCGGCGGCGGCGGCATCCTGTCGTACGAGAAGCTGGAGGGGTACGCGATCTGGGTCGGGGCCAGCGTGGCGTCGGCCTTCTTCGCGTCCATGGAGAGCTGCTCCTGCATCCACGTCCACACCGCCGACGACGAGGGCGACGACTACGACCCCGAGGAGGCCAAGGACCGCCCCCTCATGCTCTCCCGCCCCCAGGCCCTCCCCGAGTACTACTACGACCGATCCGCCTCCTCCGCCTCCTTCGCCAAGATGTGATCTCATCTGCTGCTCCCTTCTCTGATCCGCTTCTTGATTAGTTTCTGCGTGTTCGTGTGATCTGTGGATGCGTGTGGTTCAATTGGCGTTCTTTCGGTGGGGGGCATTCAAGAAACCATCGTCCCTGCATTGTGCGGTGTGTTTGTGTTCATAAAGTGTGTGACTCGAATAGCTTATGGATTTGTGATTGTAATTCTCTTGAGTTTTTTTTTTGGTTCATCTGTTCTGTACCTGATTCCTGATTTGGTCGTATAAAGCATCTTGTTCTATAGATTTGTGGGATTCCTTCAGATTTCAGATACGTAAATCATGCCAGCTTCAAGTTTGTGGCAAGGAAAATTTGATCCGGTTTGAGGTGATCATTTTACAGGGTTGCTTTGCTGGCTTTGCACAAGAAACGCTGCATTGCTGACGCAGATCCTGGATGCATCGAAATGCTGGCACTAGTTTCTGATGGGGGAAGAAGATCTTTGGGAGGAAGAGGAATGCAGCTACCTTTTCAGTGTCATATGCGGAATTCTTTGCTCCAATGTTTTTGTGGTAGTTGTAAACGAAAGAGATTGAATTGGGCGATTTGCCCTTGGATTTCCATTTGATGTACCTGGTAATTTTCAGATCTAGAACCAAGGCAATCTATCCGTTTGTACATGTAAAGTGAAATTTTCATGTCCTGGCTTCTCAAATTTGAGTGAAAATGATCTGCTAGCTTGTCCATCCAAATTACAGATCCCTGCCAACTGACAGGATGACATTTTTGAAGTTGAGCAACTATTGTATGGCTAAAATTGCTAGTAATATATTTTGATCTCTGCAAATGCAGTTCTTGGAATTGTAAAACCTTTCTGCCTTGATGCTACAATTAAAGAAAAATCAACGGCAGAAAATCACTACAAGCTCAATCCACAAAAACTTTCTGCAAGAACACAACGGAGAGTCCAGTTCCCATCTCACAAGGACCGAGTTTTGTGCGAAGTGCTCCAAGGACAAGGCCTGTTGATTATTGTGAAACAGAAGCCCAAAGCCCAACCATCCTCACAAATCCACGAAGGCCACGAGCTAACCAAAAAACAAACCTCTCAGAGTCAGAGGAAGCTGACAAACAACTCGAGTTTAGTACCACCTCGCCAATTCAGTAAGCTCCACACCAGCTTAAATACTCACTCCCCACCCGCTTTCTCGCCGAGCCAAGTAGCGATGGCTTGTCACCCGAGCGGGGGCAATAAGGTGGTGCGGATGCCTGGTCGTTTGCGCTTTGGCCTGGGCCTGTGGTTCGCTCTATGCGGCCCGCCCGTTCCAAGTTGCGTAGCGTGTATGGGGCGCCCTGGCGAAAGCTAGAGCGTCCCTGCACCTAGAGTGGCGGGTATTGCGTGAGGCTGGTTTCACAGAGCAGCGAGTACCGCCCGCTTCCAACGGTGGAAGGATAACGGGCCGCTGCAGCCCTGGCCCGCTTCCGGCCCATGTGCCTTCCATGGCAGACCCCCATCTTTTTTTTTCACCCTTTTTTTTGGTCCAGTTTTGTCAAGAACAGTGGGGTTGATTTGATCATCAAATAGAACTAGTGAGTACTACAGACTGGTTTACTGTACAAGGTTACAAAATAAAAGGAAGCAAACCAACTCCAAGCTTGCAACTTTTTAACTATTTGCTTCCTGTCCTATATGCAACTAGGATAATGCAATTGTGGAAAAACACATCAATTAACAGGTCTATACTATATGCAACTCCAAGTTTGCTTACTCGTGCTATTGCATGTACTTTTTTCACTCACAAACAAGGGTGAAAAGCCAAACTCGTTGTTCAATGTTCAGCATTCTTCTCATCTGCATACACTGCTAGAGCTACAATTAACGCATCTGCATGTGCTTGGCCAGCAGAGGAAATTCAGCAAGAAGAAACCTCATCGATTATGCAGAGGATTCGAGCCTTGAGGCACTGGCCTGTCGGAAGCTTCATACGCCGGGCTGGGAGCACTGACAAAAGGCCGTCCTCTTGTTCTTGGCAACTCGTAGAGCTGCTCCTCTGAAGACGCCTCTGAGTGATCGTCTTCTTTGTCCTCCATAACTCTCCTTCCATGGCTGAAACCAGCAAGCTCTGCAAGAAAGAAGCATGCCAAGAAGAAGGTGACCAGCATGCCCCGTCGTATCGACGGCGGCAGCAGCAGCTTCATGTATGTGAGAAGATTTGGGAGCAGAGTAAGAAGAAGCTGGAAAGGAGGTCAAGAAGATGGAACTGGATGGAGTGAGGTCCAACTCTCCAAGGCCAATCATGGATTGATTTTTAAGTTGAAGGTTCTGTTTCATGGCTCATGTGCGCTAGTGTCCACAGTTTTTTTCTATTCGGGAGCTGGTTGTCCTGGTTCTGAGCTTTGGATTTATCTAATAATGAACAGTTGAATACATATTGGATTTGTCTAATGCAAAATGCGTCTTCATGTGGATCGGCTGCGTGACTCATCGTATGATTGATTTTGTTAGAGTTGGTGTATAGAGTTATTAGAGTATAGACTGTAGAATGGTGAGTTTGGATGGCAGCCGAATTGCAATTTGGAATCTGAATGTTTGACTGAACATTCGGATCTTGGAGATCCGTACTTTGCCTGCATGGTTTTATCGACAAAACTTTTCTTTAATTTGGAAGGTGAAAAACAAAGAGTGCATTACTGAGGATGCGATCTTGGTAAATGTTTCAAATTCACAGCACCTAAACTCTCCATTGTAAGAAAAATAAAATCTTTGTAAAAGTTTCAGACTTGGAAGGTGGCATTGTGCTATATATGGACCAGGCAGAAAGGTTTCAGACTTTTCTTGAATTCTGAATATTGTTTTCAGAAAACTGCCTGAAAATCGCTTCACGTGCTTCCAAGTCAAATAGCACCACACTCACAGTAACAGCCTAACTTGTTTGATGTGTCACGAATGACAATACATTGCTAGCTATTTTCAGCACCTTGATGTGCTGTGATCTCTCACTTGAACCTTGATGATATGCGCTAGTTGTCCTACTGACAAAAATATATTTTTCCTTGCTTATGTCATTTTCATTGCAATATTTTCCTTACTAAAATACGTGGAGCGGCAGAAAAAAGAAGCCTTCTTCCATTTGATTTCTTTAATCTATCATTTACCACCAACCTGACTAAACAATGACATGCATTTGGATGATATACGAGTAGTCCTGCTTTGAAGTTCTAAAGTCTGAGCTGCCATGAAGACTTTGGGATCCACAATTTTGAAGTTCTGATAACTTGGATTGTACTGCCTAAATCATCAATTATCAGTACATTGTTCTTATCTCTCAAGTCTGAACATATTCTTTTCAGAAAATTGACAAAGAACACAACTGCACTGAAAACTTTGACTTGTATCCTATATTATTCTAGTAAATACATTTGCATATATTTTCAATAACATTTTCGTCCTGCGCACCACAAACCAGAAAGACTTTACCCTTTTCAGAGTTTACTATAAGTAAAAAGAACCAAATGTTACATTCTTCACTCTTCACACTAAAATACTTACATACACACATATGTACCTTTTACTCTTACTACTCTACAAGATCTAATTTACACCACTCAATGAAGTGAAAATTCACTCAGTGTGGCTAATTGACTGCAATTAAACTGTAGCATATCTCCTTGAAAAGGCAGCAGAGAAGAAGCTGGCTCAGCTGAAGCTGCTGATCAGTTGTGCAGTGGATTTGGTCCCTGAGGCACCAATCTCTTGGAAACAGCATGCATGCTTCTGTACTCATCGCCAACGTGATGTCCTGAATCTGAAGGAGGAACCTGCAACCTTGACATGTACCCGCCTTTCGCCGGCGGCGAGCCGCCGACGACCGCCATGGCATCGAGGTCCGGGATGAGCCTCCGGCCATAGCTAACGCCGGCCATATCCGTCAGTAGAAGAGCAGCAGTAACTAGCATCACCATTACCCTGGATTTTCTTGATCTCAACATGGTCTCAGCAATTCAAGAAAGTGTTTCACCTAGCAAGAGGAACAAGAACAGCTGAGCAAGGAAGAGAGGAGGAGATCTGGGGGCAAAAAGTTCTAACGAAAATGTGTGTTGCTTTTCTGCTTTTATAGTGACAAGGCAAATGGATCTTTCACCAAGTCACCAAGAAAGCTCTCCCAAGTCCAAGTGCACTGTAAGAAGTAAATGCAAGGACCTCCTTGGCACCGACTTGGACTTATGCTGCCCACCATTGTGACAAGATTGACCTCCTATAATTTTTTTTTCTGGAACTAAGATCATTATATTTCAAATGATCCGGCTTGTGGAGAAAAAAACAAGCTACAGAGTTTTTCTCCTATAATAATTTAAGAGTAAATTGCACTTAGCACCCGGTGTAGTGTAGCTTGTTTTACTTTGCACCCAGTTAATTACATACTTTCACTTTACACATAGAGTGTATCTAAATAAGTTTTATTTTGCATCAAGTTGCTTCATATAATTGAAGATAAATCTTATAAAATATGAATACAACTCATGAGTTTTCATAAAAGTTGTATTCATATTTTATAATAACTCATGCATAATTTTCTGAAATTTCATAATAGTTTTTATAGGTTTGATGCTGCATCTGGATATTAATTGAATCTCATATCAATAGGCAATAGCCTCTAGTGTAAAGTGAAAGTACATGATAAATCTGGTGCAAAGTGAAACAAGGTGTGCTTTACCCGGAGCAAGGTGCAATTACGCATAGTATTGAATTAATCTAGGTGTCAAGCAATGATCAATGCATGAACTTCAGTTAAGAACAGTTCGTAGACCAATCCACTGATGGAGGACACATGGCCATTAAATATCTCTGTAATTGGAGAGAGTTGGGCTAGAAATTGTAGAGTTAGGGATTAGCTAGGATTTAGCAGCAGAAGTTAGACAGCCTAGCTGATCACTATGCATGATGTACAATTGTGTACAATGTGCTAGTACAAGAGATGCACTGTTCTGTTCAAGATGTCAAGACTCAAGAAGTCTCTGAGGAGTGCAGAAGACAACAAGTTTTCAGTGATGGCATCCATAATTTGTTAGGCACAAGAGCCTGACTCATGCAATCCGCCATCTCATCACTTATGAAGTCTTCATCAGTGATGACTCATCATACTTTGATCACCACTCATTATACATGTTGAATGTGTTTTTTTTAAAATTTCAACGTATAAAGTGTCTGTAAAAAAATTAGCTTCCGATTTTTTAATACATGTTGTTGGTTTGTTACTACGCTGTTTTGAATAATATTCTTTTCACATATGCTAAATTTACTTGAGATTTAAATAAGGTGGGTTTTATGCCAGAAATCATAATATGTGTGATTTCCTGCAAGTTTTTTTTTAAAGAAAATACTCCAAGGGTCTTGTTTTCTGCAACTTTAATCATAGAACATGCAGCTTTCTAAAATATACTTCTAAAAACATTATCAGAAAAAAAATAATAGTAGCATCTACAGAAGAACAGAAATATTACAGAAAAAAAGGCTCGTTAATTCGATCCAGGTTTGGGGTAAAAAAGAAAAAAAAAATCCTCGCCGGCCATTGCTCGTACGCGACGCGATGGGCGAAAGCGATGGTGTGTCCCAGCCAGCCGGCGGCGCGTCAAAGGGTTCACATTGATCCGCCGCGAGAGCTCCTCACTTCGCCGTCGTGAACAGAGCGAGACCGACGGCGACGGCGACGCGGGGAAGAGGTTTCTCGCCTGAGCTGGGTGGGCCGGGCCGGGCCGGCTACTCATCCCGAGGAAAGAATTAGAGGTTTACGGCCCGCCGGCCAGGCCCGGTTCGGTGAGACTGGGTGTAGATTCCAGCCCACGGCGCGCGTCGCTGTTCCGGCCAGCTTAAAATAATAATAATACTTGGTACGGTCTTCAAAATTTTTTTTTATAATTTCTCATATACTATAAAGTTTATTGCAACAAAATTATAACCATCTTAAAGTAAATTTAAATGTCAATTATATTAATTTTAGCAAATAAAATTTAATTTATATTATAATAATTGTTGGTCAAATGTTTTTAAAATTGAATCTTGAAATATGTACACGCCTTATATTATGGGATAGAGGGAGTAATTTTTAACTACGAATCTATACATAGCGTATTAGAATTTTGGTTTTTTTTGGACCAAGGGTGTACTACGTACTAGTCGTGTTTGAATTTTGAGTTTCCAAGATACAGATTCTGATGGTTTTTATACAAATCGGGCTCCACTGTGTTCACTGTGCACTAACTACGAAAAATTACGAGAATTAATTGTTAGCTCTAGTATGTGGTTTGTTGTGTAATTCTGAAAAGCCAGTTCAGCACAAAACGAAGCCTGAGGAGCACAAATTCCCTTAAGATTCGCTGCAGAGTGCAGGCAATCAACATGGACAAACAGCTGAACACTAGGGGAAGTGTTAATAATCAACAATTTTACATACACGATCTGACATAACTGTACAAAAATGATATAAGCTCACAAAACAACAGCTTCAAAGGTTGATGAACTTCTGATTTTATTTCACCAACAGCGTGTATATAATATCTTCAAAATGGAGCTCTTGCCACAGCAGATGCAGTAATTTACAAACAAGGCATTTTCCTAGTTATCTCTAGCAGCAGCCATGGCGCTAATTCACGAGACAATTTGACCAACTCAGCGAGGGCTCAGTAAGCAAAGGCTCAAGAGAGAGAGAAAAAAAATTGGAATTAGAATGTCTGGACAGATATGGTAGTAGTATACATAGTAGATACACGGGCTGAAAAAAAAAAATCTCTTCTTCAATCTCAGTTCTGGGACTTCTCCACCTTCGCCTTGATCTTCTGCTCAATGATCGCCTTCTCGGTGTCGAGGCTGAACATCCTGTTGAGGGCGTGCATGTTCTCCAGCGTCTCATCGAGGGTGCGGCTGTCGCTGCCGTCACATCTCAGGTGCTGCAATGGGCCGTGGAGAAGCTTGTTCACGATGCCGGTGCTGAGCTCCTCGATGGATCTTCTCATCTTCTTGGTGAGGGCGTCTTCGCCGATCTTCTGGAGGCACTTCTCAAGCTCCGAAGCCCTGATCCTGTCGGCGTAGGACCTCAGCTTCTTGATAGTCGGAACAGTCTCCAGCGAGTCCCTCCATGCCTCGAACCGTTTCAATTCTTGGGTGATGATTGTTTGGGCCTCCATTGCTTTCCTAAGCCGGTCCTCCTTGTTGGCTTCCACAACCTCTTTCAAGTCATCGACGTTGTATACTCGCGCATGGCCAACTTCAGACACACAGGCGCTGACATTTCTGGGGACGGATATGTCGACAAAGAGTCGAACACCACCCATAGCATCAGAAATAGCGGGAAGCGCCTCTGCGTGCTCCTTTGTGAACAATGGGGTTTCGGATGCCGTGCTTGTGAACACGACATCAGCTTCGGCAGCGGCTTCATACATCTCTGTAAGAGGCCTGTACACAATCTCAATGTCTTTCATCTCTTCGCGGATGGCATCCACCCTTTCCACTGAACGGTTCACCACAACAACTTTCTTGCATCCCTTGGCAATCAAATGTTTAACCACCAACTTTCCCATCTTGCCAGCACCAATCAACAGCATCCTAGCAGATAGGCATTCCGACTTTGGAAGCTTCATCAAGGCCAATTCAACTGCAGCTGAACTGACAGAGACAGCACCTGATGATATGTTAGTCTCGCAGCGGACACGCTTTCCAGCAGTGATTGCATCCTTGAACATCCTATCGATGTTCTTTCCCAAGCCTCCACTGTTTTGCCCACTTCTGACAACTTGTTTAACTTGAGCAAGGATTTGCCCTTCTCCAAGAACCAAAGAGTCAAGCCCAGCAGATACCTCAAACAGATGGCGTGTGGCATCACTGTCACGCAACATGAATAGATGCTCCCTGAGCTCAGAAGCAGGGATTCCACTTTTCTGTTGAAAAAAAAAGCAGCAGAGGAATTAGAACCATCTAAGACAAACCGCGTTCTTCAGTCACAGAAAAAGGGAAAAGACGAGAAAAGAAGACTATGGACAGAACAAATGAGCATTTGATGAAACAATCCTTACCTTTGACATCCAGTCTACCACTTCTCTAATCCCACGGTTCCACGATAAAGCTACCACATAGATTTCCATTCTATTGCAGGTACTAAGAACAGCAGCCTCTTCAATATGATTCAGACTGGTGAGTTCTGAGATAGCACGGGGCCATAGTTCCTCTGCAACAGCAAGTTTCTCACGCATCTCCACTGGTGCAGTGTGTACACTGAGGCCTATTACCGCTATGCTACTTCTTTCCTTCATGTACCCTGATAGTGAAAGAAAAAATTGTCAAATACTGCAAGAAGTAAACATGTAAAAAATTGTACTAAAAGGATGAAACTAAAAATCGATGGCGCATCACAAAACGTTTTCAATCAATAGTTGCACATGGATACTTTTTTTTCTTTTGGGTGTATCCTGTGTTTACATTATGAGTGTAATGGTTGCAAATCTGGAATACCTACTTTTTGCAGTAATTACTAATTACATAGGGTTACAACCTCAAATTCCCAAACAATTGACCAAAACAAGATAGAGTGGAACCTTTTTCCATGCAACATACTTGGCCAATAGCTAATAATAAAACAAAATACAACTACGACGTGTTCTTTTCATCTTTATGTATTTGAAAATTTGGCATCTTGCAGTAATAGTAACCAGTTTGTTGAACTACTATTATTCGGTTACTTACTATGAAAAGCTCTTTGCCATAATAAAAAAAGCCATTTCGTGTATTACTACTACAGGTCTACAACTAACCCACAAAAAAACAAGTTGGCATGTGCTTTCTCCCTGCAATTCACTGGAGAACAGCAAAAAATAATAATTCCTTTGGGTTAGCGTGTAAGTTCGTCATCTCCAATGCTAATTCGCTCTAATGCCAAGATAGCTCACAAATTGCCTCTTCTTTTCTCTCTCAAATTACTTAGCCGGTTAAACGTATAGGTAGTAAACAAAATTCGCTTAGCAGAAAACCTGCAGAAATAGTTCATACAAATCAAAGCAAATCTAGAAAAGAGCAATGCGACATCCCAAATCTTTTCCTTTTCTTCTCCATACACAACCTACCTATTGACTAATTGACATGCTCAAATATGAACTAGCAGTAATCAAAGCACCAAAACACGAAGAAAAACGCAAAGATTTTCACAGCTGTCGCATCAACGCCGGCGAGCTCGAAGCGGGAAGAAAAGGAGGGGCTAGGGACGCGAGGAGGATACTCACGGTCGGCGGAGATCTTGAACTGCTCGAGCGCGGCGACGCTGGCGGCCTTGGCCACCGCCTGCGCCTGGGCCTGCGCCTCCACGCCGGCGTCGCACCGCACCACCACGCCGGACCGCCTCCGCCCGCCGGCGGCGACCCTCGCGCACGCGCCGCCGCCCGCCGCCGACGACCCCGCCCGCGTCTTCGCGGCGGCGAACGCGCCCCCGGCGGCCGTCGCTGACGTCGTGCTCGCCATCATCAGATCAAGAAAGCACCAGCACCAGCACCACCGCAACTTCTCCTCCTCACAAAACCAAAACCAGATCAATGGCGGCGCGCCGCGCCCCCAAGAACCGTGGATATATGGACCAATCCAAGAAACACGAGCAGAGAGGAGAGGAGAAAAATCTCGGGGGCGAGCTTTTCTCCCTCCCCTCCCGCGGCGCGCGAGCTGCGAAGCTTGTGTGGATTGGTGATGCGGGGATTGGTGTTCTTGGCTTGGTCAAGAGGAGGAAAAGGTTGGAGCTTTGGAGCGAGAGGTTATGGGGGGATGAAGAGGAGGGGTGGTTAGGCCATGGCGTGTGGGGCCCACGCAACAGTGGGATGCATTGGCTCGGTCTACTGCCGGCTCTGAATTTTTCTATTGCAAAATTAGTTTTGTTCAGAGGCCCCTGTGTTAGGGGGGAATTTGTAACTTTGTCTCAAGCTCTTGTGAATCTCTTGTTTTTCTTTCAGTGTTAAATTCTTTCATCAGGAGATCTATGAAGAGATTTCTTTCACCAGGAGATTGATCAAATTTGGTTAGAAGTTTATTGTCTTGATTGGATTCAGATGATATCACGTTCCAGCATGTCACCGTTTGTCATAAGTTTATACAATAAAAATTTCCGAGAAAATTTAGCAGCATGTGGGAACTAGGAAAGATTGAACTTATCGTATTTTGCTTTAAGTTTTTATCTTATGGGTCCCCAAAGAGCGAAATGCGAGTAAATACTCATTACGTGGTGACCTCACCTTCACATTCAAACTTGGGATGTGTTTAGTTCACATCAAAATTGGAAGTTTGGTTGAAATTGGAACGATGTGACAGAAAAGTTAGAAGTTTATGTGTGTAGGAAAGTTTTGATGTGATGGAAAAGTTGGAAGTTTGAAGAAAAACTTTGGAACTAAACACGGTGTTGTAAAAGAAAAAAAAAAGGAGCAAGAGTTGGACCTCCCCCAAATTTCCAAAAACTACAAGCCCCAAAAACAAAAGGTGACTATCCCAAGATTTCCAAAATGTTTATGAATCCCATGGCCATGTTGGGTTTGGTGGGGGGTGGGGGGAAGGGATGAGAGGGTAGGGGGAGTGTGGTGGCCTCTGGCCTCTGATTGGCTGCAGCTGCCACATTCTATCCTCTACCCTTATCTCTCTCTTCGCTTTTTCTCATCTCTGAAAGAAAACCCATTCGCGAATTGCAGCCATCAAATTTTGAGCATGCGAGGTGGGCACACGCAGCTCCCATGGCCTCCGCACGTCCACCTCCTGTGGCCGACGGCCCCAGCGTGTCGACGTGGTGGCCACACTCTCCTGACCTTGTGGGCCCACATGTCGGTCAAGGGTCTCATGCTGATTTTAGAAAACGTGGTGGTTTATCAATGTATAATTAATTAAGTATAAATAATTTTAAATTATATTAATATATTTTTGAAACAACTTTTGTTATAATTTTTTTTGAAAAAATACAATGTTTAGTAGTATGAAAAACGTGTATGCGAAAAAAGAGAAAGGTGAATTGGGAAAGAGAAGAATAGAACTCATCCTTAGGCTTGAAAAAAAGGATAAGTCATTAATTTATGATTAGTTGAGCATTAACTAGTATTATAAACTATAGAGATTTATTTATTTATTTCAAAAATATGTAAAAAATATCACGAAATACATCTTTTAACAGTTCGGAAATCGTGGTAGAGGGATTGATTCCAACCCCATTTTAGAACTCGGTTTAAGTATCTTGGTTTCATTTTATTTTGTAATTGCTTGGGTCTATTTTGGATTTCTTTAATCATGTTGAAGATGAGTACTAATCGATAATAATGCGACGCATATTCGAAGATTTTGAGGCACGACAAGCTATGAATCATTCTCTAAAATTTACTAATACCCAAGTGGTTTTGCTTTAGCAAAATGGTTTTTGATAAACAAATGGAGCGTTTCTCTCTCTGATGAGAGCAAAGAACACGGTTGCATCTTTGCAATGTTCCTTTCTCGCGCCGTTGCTATTGGACTCACATTTTGGAACATAGTGTGCGTGGAAATGGCGACATCAAGCCAAAGCTCCCGTCATTGCCGGCCATGGAAGAACCATCCTGCCAAAATGTAGTTTCCCTTTCGAAATTAACATTGCAGCATTGCCCTGTTTGTTCAGTGTCGGGGAGAAAGTTGTTCAACATGCAGTATTCAGGCCGAGTTTAGTTCCAAATTTTTTTAAAAAAACTTTCAACCTTTTCATCGTATCAAAACTTTTCTACACACAAACTTTTAACTTTTCCGTCACATCGTTACAATTTTAACTAAACTTCCAATTTTAGCGCGAACTAAACACACTCTCAGTAAGTTTTTTTAAAAAAGGAGTATTCAGTCTGCATTATTTTTTAAAATTTATTCTTGCCTTTGCTTTAAAGAAACTATATTACTTCTGAACTTAATTAATTAGAGGTAATCTAGTTGGGATCTAATGGTACCAATAATTGTAAGAACTGAGCGGTGATTATGAATACACTCCTTTTTAAGAACAAAGAATATTTCAGTTAGACAGGACTGAGATTGCATCAATTGCATGCATGAACCGTAGTTGACCGGGAAACATTCTCAAAAAGAAATGAGGAGCATCAAAGGTGGCAGCTCAGTTTACACACTGCAGATTAGAAGAACCAGAGTTGAACCTTCCTAAACAATACTAATTTTCTATGGCGTTTGACATCGTGCTGGTGTGTATACGGCTGTTTTCCTGCACGTTTTAGTTGGACGCTTAATCTGTCAAAGCTGGGATCTTATGTGCACAATGACTCATTCTCTGCTACTTGCTGGCTGCTTACGATGCGACCGTTTCAAGCAAACAAAGGAGATGATCATGCCACAGAAGATCCCTACTCGTCAACAAGACTCTTCCGTGTGGTGAGTGGGTGACCTGGTGAGGCTTGGCTTTGACTGCAATTTTGCTAAATCTTTTATTCTTAGGTTACCTGAAGACTTCACATGGCAAAACATCTTACATCCATCTTTCAATTCAGAAAAAAAAAAGGAGGAAAAATCTTACATCTGTTACTGCTACGTAATTGTGTTGTAGTGGTAACAAGTAACAACCTTGCACGGTTGATGGCTATTAACTGTTAGAAGAAGGCCATGCTGGTGCCTAGAACAACAAAAGTATTTTAAGCGTGTTAGAAAACATATATGTCTGGGCATCAGCAGATAACATGTTTGACATCGGATTTCATCAGTGGCTACGCGCTCGTCTGTCCGCATATCTTGCAATATCTCTTTGTTCTATTTTAACGGAGCGTTTGCTTTTATTTCTTGTAAAAACAGGGTTGTAATATCTCCTATCATTTAATTTAATCTACCATGTTTCTAAAAAAAAAGAAGACATACTTAATTTGTGCGAGTGTTGTGTGCTCCAATAGTACTTCCTCAAAGGCTCAAAGAAAACAGAAGTTCAGAATTTTGCTGTTGGAAGTAGCTTCCTCTGTCCTTACACCTGTCACACTGATCATGAAAAAGGTGGTTAGAACATGAAAAAGTTGACACTTTGGGAGTTAGGAAAAAGGTATAAATTCAACTTCTTGTTCCTATGCAGCTGAACAATCCTGGTGCATTTTGCTGACGAAAGTAGTTGACTCCCTGAAGTAGGGCATGATACAAGCAGTGATGAGATAAACAAAAAGGCAGCTTCAGGTTGGTCTCATGCGCTGTCCACCTATCCCTGAGAAAATATTTGTTTTATTGTCGGTTGTTTCTTTGTTGAGCAATCTTTTATTTGTGTTCTTGAAGCTCATTTGAATATATTAGTTGTGCTTCTAGATCTCATGCCAAGGTGTGTTACGCAAGAAAACATCTATGTCATGTTCATGGAATGGATTGTTCGATGCCAGCTAGGTACAAGATAATATGCTTAGCAATTAAGCATTACTAAAATAAATTGCAATAGAGATTATGTATCTTCTGCCCTTTACAATCTTAAAATAAATTGTGATAGAAACCACCAATCCACCATCAGAAACCAGAGAATGAAATACCTGTGCTGGATGAATAATTTACTCATTGCGCCTAAGTTCCTTGCCTAGTTTGGCACTGGTTGCTTTGATTTTCCTCTGCTGTTCAAATCAATTACACCTGACCTGACATGCCCCCAGATTCAAGGTATTTATGAAGTATTAAGCTGTTCCAATAATGGCATGGCGGACAATGCTACAAGAATGCATGGAGAGCAATACAAGAAAGAATGAAGAATTAGCATGTAACCAAGAAAAGGGGTTCTGTGGGCAGGTAGAAATATGAAATTATTGACGAACAGGACAGCCAACTAATAACATGGCATTACGGCAACATATCCTTGAGTATTGACAAAGGGAAATCGACAGCAGTAATGCAGTATCTTCTTGTAATCTACACCTATAGACACATGAATTCATGAAACATCATTCTGCGATTATTTGTCTTGAATTCTTGATGCGTGAAGTTAGCTGCTAGAAGGCAATTCAGTTTTCAACTCCTGAAGCCTTCATGGATCATCACTACCGACTTCCATTTCTTCCTCATATAGTAATTGATTAGACATCTTAGCAGTCAGGATGCTGTCTTCACCATCGACAGCTGCCTCCTCTATTGCATCGGCAGTGCTATCGCCACCCTGTTCTACGAGCACCTTTTTTATGGTTCCAACCTTCACGTACTTGCTGCTGAACTTGTACTCCCAGTCCTGAAGGGCACTGAGTTCAAGTAAACTTAGGCCAGATATATCATCAGTCAGATCTTGTGGCTCAAAGGACATCTTCGCCAACGCCCTACTGGCATCTTTACCAGCAAACAATGCATATGGTCCACCAGGTCCATAGAACAATCTGCACAGAGAAAATCATTTAGTTACGAAGGTTATGTGCAGTAAACACAATATGAGGCAAAGACAATATTACTGAAAGTTTGAACTGAGGAAGATAACAAAATGCCCTGGGAGTGCGGATAACTGGATATGGATTTTGTAATCGTAAGCAAGAAAAACACTATTGTAGGGAACATTATAAGTTGGTGATTTGGAGAAACGTAGGCATATGCATAAGTTCCAGAGAATGGCACAAGGTGTAGTGGTAGAAGAGCTACCAGCGCTACCACCGGGCCTGAGTTCAATCCCAGGCTTCTCACCCTCTCTTCTTAATACTATATTGATATTAAAGCTCCTCCTTTGATATCCAGCATTTTTTCATGCGTAAGTTCCAAACTTTCAGCAGACCTCATGAGGAACCAAATGTAGGTTATAAATAATACTCTATTTTTATCATAGGAAATGTTGTTCTTACAAATATACAGTACTTCCACATGCATAAATCCCAACTGAGAAGTTAGTATTAGGCTTCTAGACTTTTATTGAGGCATATGTTACTGCATGCTGTAGCACACAATATCAGATAGCAGGCATACTTAACAGCGAATAGTGGTGATCTATAAGAACAACAACAGACTTTAGTCCCATGGCGAGCTGATCACTGATGATCTAAGCACACAATCAGATAACATGTGCACATTGATAACAGCATATGAACAATAATTTTGTCATATGAATATGCAGTTTATTTTGAGAAATCTAAAATTGATCTTATATTCATTTCCAGGACTGAAGGATACGAACATCAAACATTTAAGCCTTGTTCGGTTAATCCCTCCCACAAGGGGATTCAAGGGGAATCGGAGGGGATTTATTCCACACCTATTGAGAGGTGGAATTAATCCCCTCCAATCCCTCCATCGTGGGGATTAACCGAACAAGCCCTTGCCGATTAGCATTCAGATTGATCCTGATTCGACTCTACTTGCCTGTTAGTCTATTATTCTTAAAACCATGTAATCTTCACAAACACAACGAATAGAATAGCATAGATGTAGTCACCAAATTAAATGAATTGCACTTCATTTCTGTAGCTGATTCCACTCGTCAGTGAACTAAGTTGAATAATCTATCACAAATCCACAATTCAGCTTTGGTTTTTGAAACTAGAAACATAGTAGCAGAAAAGCTTTAAAACGAGGGTTTACAGAAGCTAGGGCTTAACGAAAGCGACCTGCTCTGGGAGACGTCATAGATCTGCCCCTTGATCGCCATGAGCAACGGCTTCTCGGGGTCGGACCCGTCGTACTGCAGCAACTCCTCCGCCGTGATCTCCCCCACCTGCACCGGCTCCGGAGGCGGCGGGGCCTCCTCGCTGGGCTCCTCCCGGGGCCTCGCCGGCGGAGGAGGCGGCGCGAGGAGACTGGACCCCACCTTGTAGACCACCGCCGCTCCGGCCACCGCGGCGATCACCGCCACCGGCGACGCGCTCCTCGCCGCCGCCCACAGCTCCGCCACTGCCACGGCCACGGCCACCGTCAGATTTTTCCAAGCGAAAAAAATCCCCACGCGAGACGAGGAGGAACATATCTTACCCTTCTTCGAGATCATCCCACCGCTTACAGGCCCAGCGCTGCATCGCACGACGCCGCCGCCGCGCAGAGGCCGACCAGGGAGGTAGACGGAGGAGGCGGCGCGCCGCCGCGCGGCGGCCGGCGACGCGAAGACGACGACGGCTGGGCGAGCGCAAGCAGCGGAGCAAGTCGCCATTTCGAGACGAGGCTTACCAAACACACCTCTCGTTTGTTTGTTTTTCAATATAAACTGGAACCAAAAATCACTCACGGTTTGGACAAATAAATCTTAAAATCACTCACTGAAAAGTCAAGTAAAAAATTCGTCAATGATTTCATTCCTAGTCAGTTTAATTTTGTCAATGATTAAACCAAATACACACCTCTCGTTCGTTTGTTTTTCAATATAAACTGGAACCAAAATCACTCACAGTTTGGACAAATAAATATTAAAATCACTCACTAAAAAGTCAGTAAAAAATTCGTCAATGATTTCATTCCTAGTCAGTTTAATTTCTTCAACGATTAAACCAAATACACACCTCTCGTTTGTTTGTTTTTCAATATAAACTGGAACCAAAATAACTCAGTTTGGACAAATAAATCTTAAAATCATTCACTGAAAAGTCAAGTCAAGTCAAAAATTCATCAATGATTTCACTCCTAGTCAGTTTAATTCGGTCAATGATTAAACCAAATTAACATGAGCAAAAGCTTAAAAAATTTTACAGGTGCGCCGGGCCAAGGCAGCAGTGCAAAGCCAGGGCTCGCCCAGTAGCGAGCTACCGTGGTGGACCCTCCCCCACAAAATATTAATTTAATATCCATGGAAATATGGCCCACATATCAGATATTAAACTGATAATAACAGATACTACACTTGATCTTAGCCAAAAGGCTGAGAAAGGTATGCTTTGTGATTTGGTATCGGGTCGCGTTATATACAGCGCCTCCGGCTCCCCTCTATCGTGGCTGGGCGAGGTGGTACTAAACAATTCTGTTTTGGAAAAAGTATACCGAAGGTCCCTCAACTTGTCATCGGGATAAAAAACGTTCTCGAAACACAAAACCAGATATGCAGGGTCCCTTAACTATACAAAACCAGTCACCCGAGATCCTTCGGTGGTTTTGACCCCGGTTTTGATTTAAGTGGCAGCTAAGTAAGCGTGGTACCCACATGTCAGGTGACACGTCGTCACCTCTCTTTTCCCCTTTCTCTCCCTTCCTCCTCTCTCTGTCTTCTCTGTGCGGGCGAGGTGGGGCGAGTCGACGACCAAGCTCCATCGCGACGACGACGACGATGACGCACAGGCGCGAGGCTGGGCGGAGAAGGGGCGCCGGGCACCAGCCGCAGCGTCAGCCTCTGCCTCCACCTACGTCGCCGCACCCGACAACGATACACACGTGCGAGCCCGGGTGGAAAAGGGGCGACGGCTAGCGGAGTGGCGGCGGGCACCAGCCGCAGCGTCAGCCACCGAGGCCTTCGTGAGGAGGGCAACGACGGTGGAGGACGATGCCACTGCTGCCGACAAGGCCGAGAGGCACGGAGGCTGGGGCAGGAGTGACGGGGGAAGGAGCCGCGGGCAGCGGGGGAGGAGTCGTGGGCAGCGGGGGGAGCAGCGGCGCGCGGCCGGCGGAGGAGCCGCGGGGAGATGAGCCGCGGCCGGCGGAGGGAGATATCCCCTCCATAGTCACGTCGTGCGGAGAGGCCGAGGGAGTGCAAGAACTTGACGCGCTCGAGGGAGTGTAGGAACTCGAAGCGCTCGCGCATGACGTCGACGGTGGCGGGGAGCTCGAGGCCGGCGAGCTCGCCTGGGTCGACGCCGAGCGAGGTGAGGAACACGTCGACGTTGGCGCGGCGGGCGGCGTAGCCACGCTCCATGTCGAGGAGGCTAGGGCGCACGTAGAAGGAGGAGGAGGAGGGGGGAGAGGCGGGGGCTGGGCCGGGGCTTGGCATGGGTGGGTCCCCGGGAGCGGCCGGCGCGGGGTGGGGAGGAGGCGGATGTGGAGACGGTGAGACAGAGGAGCTTGTAGAGGTGGGGGGATAGGGGGGAGAGACCAATTGCACGTCGGCGCCGACATGGCCCTAGCACTCCTCGCCAGGTTCCCCTTCATCGCCGCACCGACGTTGCTACAAGATCGTGGTTGGGCCCTCGGTGACGACGGCGAGAGCTCCCCTGCTCCCACGTCATCGTCGTCGCCGCTGCCTTGCTCCCCTGCTCCCGCGTCGTCGTCGCCATCACCGCCACCGCCGCCACGTCGCCGGACCTCCTCTCCCGCGTCGCCCAGTCGGTCTCCTTGCCATCCGTCGGCTGGCGGCACTGGCCTGCCAAGAGCACCAAACCAGAAGAGAGAGAGAGGGGAGAAAAAGAGAGGAGGGGAGAGGGTGATGATGTGGCTAGCTGACATGTGGGGTCCATGTGGGTCCCACGCTGATTCAGCCGCCACGTCAGACAAAACCAGGTTGAAAACCACCAAGGGACCTCGGGTGACTGGTTTTATATAGTTGAGGGACCCCGCATATATGGTTTTGCGGTTGGAGGACGTTTTTGTATCTCGATGACAAGTTGAGGGACCTTTGGTGCACTTTTTCCTTCTGTTTTTACTCCGTTCGGCCCAAGACTAGCACTGGGTCAGGCCCAGGAACACCAGTGCAGGAAGCCCAAGCGAGTAAGCGACGTGACCTATGTTGTTTTGCCAAGTGTATTTCATATTCTAAAAGAATTGGCCTTTCCAGATTGTCTGAAAAACAGAAGAATTCTAAACAGATGGGAGAAAACTAGTACTCCATTCGACAATGACTCAACAGGTTCAAATTACTGCAAATATGGGTTCTAGGTCTTTCAAAGTGACCGGCAAACAGTAGTTTTGAAATCGACTGGGATACTGCAGCCCGTTCATATAGAGTTATGCAGTACGGTCTCAGTTCCAACATCGTGCTTGGAACGCTCTTGGTCTCACCCATCAATTGGAAATCTGCATCACATGTTCTTGACAAAATATGGTATCAGCTACCCACGTGATTAAGCCCTTGAAAACATGTGTTTGACATTTTGACTAAGCTGAACCTTTGCATGTCAGGCATCACATCAGTAGAAACTGATTCAGTTAGAGGTCATGCTTATGGGATGTGTTGCCGCGCAAATCATGATTCACCTGCAAATGCACAAGACTAAAACTTAAAAAGGTTTTAAAAAGGCAGCTATATTATTCACCCATATAGTTATTAACAGAGACTTAACAAAAGGGGAATAAACCCCAGGTGATCTCATGTCTAATACTCCCAGTAACAACTAATAATAATAAGCACTAGCACCTCCAGCTCCAGGTCCTATGTGCTAGTGCAGATTGCACATCCAATTACACAAATTATTGCTGCAATGGGGATTACTGGAGTGTTCTAACTTTCTTTGGCGCCTTCATCAGGTGCAGCAGCGGCAACAGCATCCTCCTTTTCTTTTACTTCCTCCGAGCTTACCTCCCTCGGCTTCTCTTCGGTTGCTGGCGCCTTCTCTGGCTCAGCGGCAGCGGCGGTTTCAGTTGTTTCTGGTGAAGTGCTTGGGGCACCATCTTCAACAGGGACGGTCTTCTTGACGGTACCGACCTTCACGTACTTGCCCATAAACTTGTACTCCCAGTCCTGCAATGCGTCGAGTTCAAATGGGCCAAGACCAGAGATGTCACCGGTCAAATCCTGGGGCTCGAAGGACATCTTAGCGAGTGCTCTGCTGGCATCTTTGCCAGCGAATAGCGCATAAGGTCCACCAGGTCCATAGAACATCCTGCATATGGCCGTCAAAATGTGAATGGTAATTAGAAACACAGTTAAAAAATATTTAAGTATCCACTTTCAAAACAGAATATTAGGGGCAATGCAACAATTCCTAACACAAATAAACATGCATATCCTGAGACTATGAATATATTATGTAGACATCATGTAGCACAATCCCTCACCTAAAAAGCCACAACTGTCCATGTGTTTTGAATGGGAAACAGTGTAGCAAAGAAATGATTGTCATTGGAAAAGTATAAGCAATAATGTAAGTTAAAAAGTTAAAGCTTCCAAGCAATAGATCCAAGATATCCAAAATTAATATTATCATCTACCCACAAATATAGGTGCACCACCAGCAACTGCATCTTGCATAGCAAAGGATAAAGAGAACTCATATATTATCTTGTAGCATTATTGAACTTCTATATTAAAAAAAACTAAGATCAGCAAACAACTTTATCTAATTCTTTCAGACTTTCAGTCCAGAGTACCTATTACCCAGCATAAAGAACAGGACATTCCTTTTCAACTCCCCATGAGACGGATCATCAACATATTAACAGCAATGACTAATTATTAAGCATTTGTAAATAAGAAGTCATGAGGTAACACTATGAAACATTAGGCAACTGATGTCAGGAGTATATGTTATGTTCAATGACCTAGCACAAAAAGTCATCACTTGCTACTCGGTCCGGAATCTTGGTGAGCCCAAAATTCAAACCTAACTTGATTGCTGTCATTTTCTGCACGATTTTTATTCGCTTATTTCTTTTTTCTCCCCAGTTTGTATCTGATTTTCTTCACCTCCTATTATCAGTGCTGCCATGAATTGAGACGTTTCTCCAGATTGGTTAACTGTCGACTATTCAAGTATCTAGAGGGTTTGGGCTAGTTTGCATTCTCCCAACATAATCTACTGAATCATTCCACCATTGCAAACAAATTCTGAACAAACATGACACACCTGAAACCTGCTAAATCTTAGGGTGATGATAACTACACACATCAGAAACTTTATGATTCGAACAAACCTCAATTTTTCTCACCTGGAGCACTGCAGAATCGAAAAGGGTAGGTACTATGGTTTACATCTGTGAAAAGTATTTTATTTTCTTTCTTTTCAAAAAGAAGTGTCATTTTGGGGGCAGAATCGATTACCCAATTGACAGACTACAGTAGAAACATGCAACCACCTCCCAAATCGAAAGCATCATCACAGCGATCACAAAGGAAAAAAGGATATGATTTCGGAGACGTAAGGAACGGACCTGCTCTGCGTGACGTCATAGATCTGGCCCTTGATGGCCATGAGGAGGGGCTTCTTGGGATCGGACCCGTCGTACTGGCGGAGCTCCTCCTCGGAGACCTCCCCGAGCTGCACGGGCGGCGGGAGCGGCTCCGCCTCGGGCTCGTCCCTCGGCCGCGGCGGCGGCGGCGGGGGCGGCCCCGCGAAGATCCCCGACACGACGTGGTACAGCGCCGCCGCCGCCGCCACGGCGGTGAAGAACGCCGCCGGCGACAGCCCCGTGTACGCCACGATCGCCTGCTTCAGCGTCTCCCACAGCTCCGCCACCGCCGCCGCCATCGCTCGCCGCCGACGAGCTCCTCCTCCTCCTCCTCTCGCCTCCTCGGGTTTGGGGCTTTTGGGGATGAGGGGTATTCTGGTCTTTTCACAGCTTCGAGGTCTCGACGAGGGAGGAGGCGAACGAGGCGAAGAAATATCTGGGGTTTTTATATACAGCGCGGCGTTGGCGCGGGAGAGGTGGTGACTGACGTGTGGGGCCAGGACAGTCGGGCCCACCTGTCAGTGAGGGCGGAAGTCTCGAGGCGATGGCTTATTGGTGTACGAGTCGGGGGTCCCAGGTGTAATTGGGATTCAGGTGGGCTGTGTTTAGGGTCAGTGTTGTAAATTTTGCAATTTTGTGAAGATGAGACGTCCTTTTCCTTGTAGGATTATATTTCTTTTCAGTTTGTATTAAAAAAAGATTATATTTTCAATTGCTTGGAATTCTATAATAGAGGCGTAAATGCATAAAGTATGGGCCCTGATAGTGATTGATAACTATTGTTTTGCCTTTCAATTGTACTCTTAATGTGTAGTTTCTTTTTGAGATAATAGAAGTAGGAGTATTATTTCCGGTTTCTAATCGGTTACATTAATCCTTTTGTCACGGAAAAAAAACAAGGTGTTGAGAGTTATTTTCAACAATGATTTTATTGGTAAAAAAAGAAAGCATAGCTAATAGCTTGCATTCAAACTTTAAAAGTTCACTCTTAAAAAATATAGGGACTATAAAAAAACATCGTATGCTTTCAGGTTATTTTGATATAGACTGAAGGTCTGTTTAGCAGAGCTTGAGCTCCATCTCTATCTCTTTTGAAGCTAAAGCCTAACCAAACAGGTTCTGCTCCATTCAAAATAGGAGTGGAGCTAGTTGGAGTACTCCCACAAATAAACTAGAAAGGCGAATTTATGTTTATGCTGCTCCATAACTCCACTAACTTTGCTCTTAAAGCCAATTTTAAAAGTAGAAGCCCTACCAAATAGCTCATCTCTATTTTACAACCCTTGTCCAATGTCCGAATAAAAAACAAGGGGCAATTGCTTATTTGACCCCGTTTTGAATCCTAACTACCAATTTGACCCTACTTTTTAAAGTTTGCTTATTTGACCCTCCTTTTCGAAAATGAAGAAACGGTATGACCCTATTCTGTTAAAGGCATCTAACGGTGTTAAATATAGCACAAAACGTCTCTTATGCCCTTACTCATTTGACCCTATTACATGTTCGACCCACCCGTCACTTCTCTCTTCTCCTCTCCTCTCCTCTCCTCTCTTCTCTCTTCACCTCTGCTTCTTTCCTCCCCGCCGCCCCATCCTCCCTAGGCGCGCCGGCCCCGTCGCCACTGATCTCATCGCGTGCCGGCGCCGCCGCCGCCGCCGGTGCCTCTCTCCGGCGCAACGCCACGACCTCCCTCCTCGCGCCGTCCCAGCCGCCGTTCTTCTCTCCGCGTGCCGGTGCCCCCACCGCCGCCTCCTCTGCTCGCTCCCCGCGTCGGCGTCGGCGCCGCCGCCGCCTCCTCCTTCCCCGTGCCGCCGCCGCCGCCGAGATGTGAATGAGAGAGAGGGTCGGGCCCTCCTCCCCACGCCGCCGCGTCCTCCTGCTCGCTCCCGGCGTCGGCGTCGGCGCCGCCGCCGCCTCCTCCTTCCCCGTGCCACCGCCGCCGCCGAGATGTGAATAAGAGAGAGGGTTGGGCCCTCCTCCCCGCGGCGCTGCCTACTGCTCGCTCCCCGCGTCGGCGTCGGCGCCGCCGCCGCCTCCTTCCCCGTGCCGCCACCGCCGCCGAGATGTGAATGAGAGAGAGGGTCGGGCCCTCCTCCCCGCGCCGCCGCCGCCTCCTCCTTCCCCGTGCCGCTGCCGCCTCCGAGATGTGAATGAGAGAGAGGGTTGGACCCTCCTCCCCGCGGCGCTGCCTCCTCCTGCTCGCTCCCCACGTCGGCGTCGGCGCCGCCGCCACCTCCTCCTTCCCCGTGCCGCCCCCGCCGAGATGTGAACGAGAGAGGGTCGGGCCCTCCCACCGCCGCCGCCTGTCCCCGACGGCGCGCGCAGGAGCTGGGGATTCGCCGCCGCACCAGCTGGGGATCCACCTTGACGACCGGGCGCCGGCGCGGATCCCCCCGTCTCGCTGCCGCCGCAGCGCACGCAGAGCGCCGCCGCCGCCCCCTTAGCGCCTCCACCTCACCACCACACGTCGCCGCCGCAACTGGCGCAAGAACGAGAGAATGAGAGAGAGAGAGATGTGTGGATAGGGTTTAGTGGATGGATAGGTTTCCTAAGGGGTATTCTGGGTATTATGAATATTAGTTACATTTCTTTTTTTATTTTAAATCAAAACTTAACGGATTAACGGAAGTAGGGTCAGACGGAAGCTTTATTTTAGAAAAGGAGGGTCAAATAAGCAAACTTTAAAAAATAGGGTCAAATTGGTAGTTAGAGTTCAAAACGGGGTCAAATAAACAATTGCCCCAAAAAACAATGGAGTATTATGCTAAGAAGACCAAATTATTGGGAGAGGAGTTTCTCCCTCCATGGGGCAGCGGTACCGCAGTTTTGCCTCTCTTTTTTCTCTTTTCTTTTCCTGCCTGGGTTCTTCTCGATCCTTCAGAGAGAGAGAGAGAAGGGGGGATCTTTTAGTGTTGGGTTATTAGATTAGTATGCAACGCACAAATATATACTTTTTGCACATAATGACTGGTATCATGTCAATTATGTATGGTTTCACAGGGATAATCAATCACTCAATCCTAAATAAAGGCATAAACAACAATTTCGTTGACTCGACTCTCAGATAATAAAGCAAAGCAAGCAGATTCCGTTCTGAAACAAAATAACGCAGGAGAAAAATCAAGACCCCCAACAATCCAGGACAGTCTGATATTATCTCAGTTATGTAGTATCACAGGGATAATCAATCATTCAATCCACAAAGGCATAAACAACAACTTCGTTGACTAGCCTGACATAAAGGCATAAGCAAGCAGGAGACATGCTGCCCGCTAATGCAGACTAGAACTTGCGGCGCGCTTCGCGGCGCCTTATCAGCTCATATTCAGTGATGTAAAAGGAGTAAATTGCTAAGAGGAATATACGAATCATATTTTAGCTGAACTGGAAGTTTAGGCCTTGCTCAGCAGGCTAATTGTTAGGAAAACAAAAACTGACAGAACACGTAGAGAAAACACTAAGCAGCTGTTCGCATGATCCATAAGCATGGAGAGGCAGGTGAAAATGTTAGGCTTTAAAGCATACATAACAGAGGGCAGTGTTTTATGTAATTAAGGTAGGCGACAACGCCTGCGAACTTCAAGAGGAAGACGGCGTGGAGCTATGGCTGGTGTACCGCCTTCAACTGGTCCGTTGTTTAGATCAATCTTCAAGGGCACCCAGCTAAATGTTTTGACAACAGGGACACGGGGCCTTTGCTGCTCATATTCCCTAAGAACTTCTCCATCGCTATCACTCCCACTGTCTTCGTCAGTGTAGTCGAACAGCTTCTCTATATGAACCAGCACAACTGACAGAGTTGCATTGTGCATCCAACTAATGTTTGCTGATCCTCGACGACCTTCTTTAGTCTCAATGTTCCAGCTTATCACCTTGGGTATAAGGTCACAATCTGTTGTCCAGGCAGCTAACTTAAAAATTGAGAGTTCTTGGATATGGTGCTCTCCATACAACTCCTCTACAAAACAACAACTGTCCATGAGCTCTGATATAGCTTCTTTGTTCCATGATTCTGGTGGCACGCCTTCTAGCGCAAGTATAACCCGCTGGCACAGTGGATTTACAGTGCTACCAAGATTCATCTTGAAAGGCTCAAATGTGAGGCGAGTTGCCTTGAAGGTGAACGATACCTTTTTGAAAGCTCTTTCAGACAGTTCTTCCTGCAGATCGGCATCCATGAAGATGGCAATGAACATCTTTGGGCGGAAAGGGAGCAATGCGAAATCATCAATTTGACACCTGCAGACGGCGCTTATCATCGCTGATATTCTTGTTGTGGTCGGATTTCCAGCTCCAGACACCTTAACAACAACAGCTCTTGTGTATATGATGTCAGCTAGCATATGCGATATCTCCTTGCGCCTAGAGAATTTTGTTGCTAGTAATGGACGATTGGTTCCATAGGAAGAAGGGCGTTGTGGCTGCCCCACGCCTAGCTCAGCGCTCCAATCAAACTGCATCCCTAATAAAGAACATCCATAATAGTATTAGACCGGATTAATTGTTTTGCTAGGTTTTTTCTTGCTATATGTTTTATTTTCTAAAAATAGCTCTTGTTCCTATCGCCAAGCGCAGGCAGCATGCGCGGCTAGGAAAATAGAACCGGATGTATTATTACCGAAGCATCAGGCAATGCAATCACGTCGAAACAGAAGGCTGCATTTCGTATAGACTGCATAGCATAGCAAGGCATAGAGAGATACCCTGGAACAGAGGTAGAGAAGAGCACCCTTACCCGTAGAAACGATGGTAGGAAAAGAGTTGTTCTTCCTCGAGCAGGAGTTCTTCAGATTCAATCTGTGAGACTCGGCGAGGAGTGCTGAGCTGTGGTGGAAGAAGAGGATGAGCTGAAATGAAATAAGTGTAGAGTGTGGGATGCGTTTTTAGCAGGTCGTGTTGTCCCTTCATAGGAGTAGCTAGCTGTGTAGGCTGGCATGTCACTCTTTAAAAAGGGAGTCAGTGTGCAGGCATGGGCTGCACATTTTGCGTGGAGCGCTGGCTGTTGAAGGTTAAATAGATGTATTTGTAGTACAAATCAGTACCACGACACAATGTGATACGTTGTACGCGCCGTGCCGTGAGCATGGAACGCATTGTTGTTTCAGTAAACAGCTGTATGGAGGGATTCTAAAACCAAGCAACCATAGAATCAACATCGAGTTCGATTGCTCTGGATTATAACATTAGAACAGTCTAATTAATCTTAGGAGGTCCAGCATAGAACGTTCAATGAACAGCCAGCATTCATGGTTATCACAGTGCATCTATGATAACATAGAATCCTAGCTAACTACAGAACGCATGGGTAGATGTTTTCGTGGTCCGTTACAAAAGTATTATGCTCATAAACACACAATGAGCAACACAATAGCACAGTTTGCATAGGTACATAACACATTGCCCAGTGAAGCCGTAGCGAAGCTGGAG